TTATAGTCATAGTTTACATAGATAGAGCGAATTATTTAATTTGAACAGTTTAGTTTAATATTATTTATTAAATCTATCTCCTTTAGTTTATGTAATAAAAAAGAATGATCATTTATGATAAGACATTCAATATATAGCAATACGTACACATTACTTTAGTAAGTTAAATGTTATGATCTAAATTATCTTACCGACTAGAATTATATAATGTTTAAAAATGACATAAAGAATCTTAAAGATATTGTATACCAATGTCTCATATAAACATCATAAATTGAAATATATTTTAGAAATATATATTAAAGATATTATTATATAAGCATTTTTCCAGTAGTTTTATAAAACATTTTCCAATAGTTAATTTTCTTTTACATTTTTAAATGTTTTTTTAGATGATTTTAAGAAGTCATTCTTCGGAAAATAATTTGTCTTTAACATTTACTTTACCTTTATATAAATACATAATACAATATTTTGCATAATACAATACTTTCTTTATTAGAATAAATAATAATTTTGTTTATTTTAATTATTATACATATATATTAATTATATATTTAAATAAATGTATTTTATATAGAATAAAAAAAACAGAAATATTATAAAATTTTTAAATGCATAATTATTTATTATTAAAAAAGAATGATGCATCATAGATAATTTATTACCATATTCAATATGTATTGAATGCTGTAGTAAACATGCATCGAACACCGTTACCGACACCAAGCTAGGTTGGCCGAGCGGTCTAAGGCGCCAGACTTAAGTTCTGGTTCCCATCTGGGAGCGTGGGTTCGAACCCCACACCTGGCAAACTTTTTTTTTCTTAAAATATTTATACAAATCAATATAAGCTCTATAGTTTTATTCAAAATTTATAAATTATAATTTGTTTTAATTTTATAACTTCGAATTAAATACATTTATTCAAATTTAAAAAGTTATTAAAATCCGTAAAATATATAAATTTTCTATTTGATTTCTAGGTTTTATACTGTTCAAAAAACGATCTATGATTTATAATGTTATTTTATCTTTTTGTTAATTAATATGTTATTCATTATCATTTTAAAACATATATATATATTAATTCAACAAATTTTGTTTATATAGATATCAATGATATAATACGTTTTTGTTATGACTAATTTTAAAAATTTATTGCTTTCTTAAAATATTATAATTTAAATATTTTAATAGTTTTTATTATTTGTTTTTTGCAATTTAAATAAATCAACAATAATCATTTATTATCTATTATTACAATCATCGACAAATAAATACAATAAAAGATTAATGTATTTGATACTGT